GTAGTTGATGCCCAATGTTTTGCATAGGTCAAACAGAAGCAACATATCAAGAATGCATAAAAAAATCGAGTCTCGCCTACACCCCATTTTATGTTCAAAATATTAATATATCATTGTTTTTTGGAAATAGGCATTTTTGGTAAAAATAAGAATCTTTTTCATGGATAGAAATTAAGGGCTAACACAACATATAACTCCCTTGCTGGTTCTACAATGATCTGGAAAGTTTTTGTATATTTTAGAAAATTCCAGACTATTTCCGAATATTTCACAATATTCCACGGTGTTATGGAATGCTTTCGAATACTCTCGAATGTTCTGTCCTAAAATTTTCTAGAAAGCGAAAAGTCTTGCTCTTGTATCTTTAAAGGCACGCATTTTTAGTAAAAACGACAATTTTTTCATGAATGAGGTATTAAGGGCTAACAAAATATATAACTCTTTTGATCGTTCTACAATGAGTTGGTAAGTTTTTCAGACCATTCCTGAATATTTCACAACATCCCATGGTGTTATGGAATGCTTTCGAATACTCTCGAATGTTCTGTTCCTAAAATTTCCTAGAATGCGAAAAGTCTAGCTCTTATATCTTCAAATAAAAAACGAGAATCTTTTTCTTGGATGAGGAATTAAGGGCTAACACTCCTTTGAACGTTCTACAATAATCTGGAAAGTTTTTGTATATTTTAGAATATTCCAGACTATTCTTGAATAATATTCCACAACATTCCATGGTGTTGTGGAATGCTTTCGAATACTCTCGAGTGTTCTAGACAGTTCTAGAACTTTCAAAAGGAAGGAACGCCGAAAGAGCACCCTTTAATTTGAAACAGGAACATCCTTCACGGACAAGCTGATATGGATACTGTGACGAAAAAAATTGCCATATATATTTACTACCCATGCGAATTCTGGTTCGGATGCTAGCAAATAATGATAATCGACGTGTTTTAAATTTTTTTCATGTGTTTTACAGTAGGTGATATATAACGTTTCGGAAGTAGAAAGTGTTATAATTTATTGGTAATCAATCAGCAGTTCATTGAGCAAGCTATTTTATAGCGAAACACCATTCACACTGAAAATTACAGTGAATTGTATTAGTGACTTTTCGAGAAATCAACAATCAGCGATTCAAACCTAATATAACGAATAACATTTTTGAAAGATACTGTCTCACGAGCTACATCCTCGTAGCTGGTAAAACAGCTTTATTACAATATAGACATATTGTAATACAGTTTTTCGAAGTGATGCCCAGAAAAATTGGTTGGCAATGAAATTATCATAATGCCGGAACTCGGTACTCGCTTGGCTATTAACGAGAGGATTTTATTCGCTGTTTCACCCATTCATCATTCATCCAAATAATGAAAAATCTCATTTGGAAACTTAATCAAATATTTATTGTAAAGAAACGGAAAAAATACACTCACACTTGAATGTTGATAAAAAATACATTAAAACACCAAAAACTTACATTATACTGCCACCCAGCAGGATTGAAGAGAAGGAGATGTGCTGCATTGCTGATGATCGATAGATACTCAAAATACTTTGAATAAGAATATTGAAGTTGAGGTTGGAACATCTTCCAATTCATGTATTCGCTTAGATAAATTTGAATTATTTCATGATTATTTTCCATATTTGATAATAGTTGAAAATAATGGCAAACAACATTTTGACCATCAGTTGGGTGTTCTTCCGGTTAATTTATCATAAATGAATTCATATAAGAAAATTATTCTTGGTGTTATTTTCGTCTCTTGCATTTCAAGAAATGGAGAAAATGATAATAGTCTACCTATTGTGATTATTCCACCTTAACAATTACTTTATTATTAATAGAGAACATATGATGTGAATCATTCTGTAAGTATATAAATTTTTGTCTGTATATCTTTTGACTTGATCATTCAAATTGCCGTTCCTTCAATAATACAAATATAAATGTTAAATCGGAAAGTCTCTTACTGCTAAAACGAAATGAGTAGGGCATGTTACGAAGTTGTTTATATTTATGCTCATTGGAAGTACCTTGAATGTTACCCATTTCGTCACAGTTACAGTTACAGCTGTTTACAGTTTACAGATTATCATGTGGACATAGCATGCCAGTTCGACCCATATTATTGAGAATATCACTCACAATGAACTACTCTACCAGTACAAACTGGTTGAGGTTTTCGCGGCCGAGGTTTTCAGTGTCATTATTTTTGGGTTTCGAAGGACGTGGATTATTCGAATTTCTTCCTGACGTTTCGCTGGTGCGAGTGGATGGCTTCTTCAGAGATTTATATATTTTACATTATTATTAATAAGAACCAAAAAATGGTGACTGCTCTACCAGTATTTTGTAATTCATTTCAAATATAATTCAGTTTGAAATTGGGAAAAGTTCATTTTTATATTAGGTAGGTGGAAAAATTATGATTTTGAAAATTCCAATTCCGAATTTATTTTTTCTGAAGAAGCTTCAGTCAATACGAGTCGATTATAATGAAAAATAACAAGCACCCACAGGTTACATACTTGAAAATATCGAACCCAAGAGCCTTTACTTTCAGTAGAAAACTTTTTGAAATCCATATCCATTACCGAAACATTAGAAAAAATGTATTTTAATTTTTTGAAATGTAATGCTCTTTCCACTCTTCTTCGTGAAATCAAAATGAAAAATGATTTTACTGGGAGTTCTCACCCCCTAATCTACCAAGACATGTTAGACATTTCAATTTCTATAGAAAAACCCTGTTCATAAATATATTTATTGATGTTAATGATTATTCTCATCGAAAGTTAATACGTTTATGTAAAAAAGACTTATTTATATTCATATTCATATTTGTTGTCGGTTCAACAATATTTATGGAACAAAAACTCTGAATTTAACTCCTAGTTATTATAGTCACCAGCTCATACTTAAATACTGCGAATGCATTATTTGCTTGTGATGAACAAATTAATGGATAATTCATCCACAACATTGTCGCATTCACCGTTTCCGTAATACCATAATGGTATTGCTTAAAAATACAACTTTTACGACTACTTCATAAAAAGTAAAATCATCAACATCAACGAGCAACATTTAAATACCTTTCAGGTTATTGTAAAGAAACAAGAGCCTCATTTACATACATATGGATTTCGTTGATTGTCACTATTACGAAGACAATTAACTTTTCATTTCTTTAGTGTGTCATTGAGTTACTTTATGGCAGCAGGTGAATCGAAATCAAATGAAAATGTTTTCTCAAAGTTACGTTGCATATTTAATGAACGATGGGTCTTTTGACTTCATTTCTCCGCGATTATATAGACAGTGGAAAGGTTATAGAAAAAATTAAATGCAACAGTAAAAATTCGTATCAAAGATGTGTATATCATGCACAAAGTTTTCATCCAAATTGAAGAAATCCCCTTTTTTTATTCAGGTTATACCCACCCATTTCGAACATTTGAAAAGAAACAAATAGTATAAAAATCAATGACACATGATGTGATTTATGGAAGTATTCAATTGAAATTTTATTAACAAGGACTATTTTCATGGTCATGAACATTAGTCTTCAACTCCTCATCAGTGATCTTAAAAATCTTCGAAATGACTAGTGAAGATTCCTCATTCAAGTATACCCTATTTTACTTAAGTTCAACCTCATTCTTGTGATTACCTCGGCTGAATATTTCATTATACACGTGGTACTTTTTCCATGAGTTTAATTTTACTGATGAACCGTAAAAGCTATCAAATGTATCTGATGGAATATTCGAATATTGACCGGTGTTAACAAGTAACAAAATGCAGTTACTAAAGAAACAAAATTGCGTCTTCATATATCGTGAATACAACTTTTTTAAGTGTTAAAATGTAATTGAGCATATTGAAAAATATATGCTAATAATCAATAATAGTTAGTTAGTGACTCCTATTTTTGATAACACACTAGTTACAAAAAAGAACATCTCTGCGAAAACACTTTCACGGGTTGAAAACTCAAACTTTGTTTTCATTCATTCAACCTTGATTAGCTGCCTCTGGTCGTTGATAGTTGACAGCTGAGAGTAACTAGAATAATTAGATTCATAGGCTCTGGTTTCGATGAAATTGATGGAATTCATAGGTGTACAATAATAACGAATGAAATAGTTTTATAAAGTCAATCGGTTATAAACCAGTGGATGAACGATAGCCTGATTGAATTCTAATCAGTTGGTTAATGGTTGACAGAGAGAACACACGTTATCATTTGATGATCTCTACTTTTATACTGATATTTGGTTGTTTCCTGTACGTTTCCTAATGTGTTTCATATAACTATTGTCTGAGTTTCCAGTGCCACAAAATATTGATCCAATGTCTTCCAACCAGTGTAAATGCATTCTTTGAAATCCTTTTGTTCTTAAGATACGGAACAATCACGATTGAAAAAACAGTCACACTTTTCATAAGAGATTAATTTTTCGAAAAAACCCATTCGTATTTATACCTTTCCATCTATTTCATAGGAAGTGAGAAACTTTCTTCTCCAGAAGATTCCCACTTACTATCTAGAATGTAGAAGGAGAAAGTCACATGGTTTCTTTCAAAATATAGATCTCTATGTCGTATAATCTTCAAAGTATTGGAGAAAAATAATAAGGTTTATTCTCGTATAATTAGGAAGGTGATATAAAACCTGACCAGTTGTCATTCACATAATCAAACGTTGTTATTGCAGTTGGACATTAACCTCTATTTGGGCCACATTATCTATTTCTAGTACATTTTCAGGTCAGTATGGTTGACGATATAGTATTCAAATACAATATCTTCTACACCACTTGTATAAAACATAGGACGTTTTATTTCTCAATTTTCATGATAATTTCCTACCACGTAGTAACGACTACATCTATTAATCTATCAATATCTTATAATGCTTTTCATCCATACCAAATTATTTTTAGTATTTGAATATTTCAATATTTCATTGTTTTCCATTTTATTTCAGATGGTCAACCAAGCCATGTTTGCCAATTTCGGTCTGATATACGGCGAGACGCTTAAAGCCATGGCAAATGGTCATGCAACAGGAATAACTTTAGTGATGGCAATGAGTGTGGTAGTGACGAACACTGCTGGGCTAGTGGTAGGACCACTCCTTAAAAAAATTAGTTTGAGAACTCTTACGTTCGTTGCCATAGCTTGTGTTGGAAGTGGATTGATTATTACCAGCTTTGCAACCGAAATTTGGCATATAGTCATAGGTTACAGTATTTTCACAGGTAAGTCGCTCTGTATAATTCACATTCTAGGAATAACACTTCATAGATGAAGGATCACCTAGTCAAACATTACAACAACAGAAAACAATGCGCTATAAGAGTTATAAACGTGATTCGATGCCAGTTAATGTTTTCTTCAGTTTTATAATATTCGTGTGCTGAACAATTATGTTAATTCTAATCACAATATTTCAGAATTAATAAGTTATGGAAATGGTTATTCATTGAAGTAAATATGTAAATATTACAAGCTGGTTGGTTGGTTAAACTACTCGTAATACTGATTGAAAAGAATAAAATCCGGGCTAGTAGGCCTCGATTCGAACCTGAAGCACTGAACGTAATCAACTATGGCGGCAGACAGCATTATACTGCTCAAAGAGGCTACTTTCGGCTTAAATTCTGGTTAGGCTGGAGTTCAAATAGAATTTATTTCCTTATTCGTTTCCTTTCATGTATCTCACTGTATTGCAAATACTCATAAAAACTCATCGATATCACTGGAGTTCTCCGAAGACTGGAAGAATAAACTTACTCAATTCTTTTATGTGAATACCTTCAGACTATGCCTCAGTAAGAAAGATCTTCATTGGTCTGTATTTGAAAAACATTTGAGAATAACTATAACTGGAAATTATCATCAACGAAATGAAACCCAAATCAATAACTTTTAGAATAAGTATATTCGTGTGACTAAACCGATTTTGTTTGTGATATTGCAGCAAAATTCACTGAAAAATTTGTTGATAATCGAAAAAACTGTCAATTTGTAGAAACAGGTCAAAATCAGTGTTCGGTTGATTTAGCGGATACTTTGGGTAACTATACTATGGTTTGTGAAACTATTTTCTATACAGTGTGTAAAAGTCAAATGGAGTGAATTCATTCTTTCGATTACGGGACATATTTTAACAAAATCCCGGAGCACGTCAAATTAAAATTGTAATTTGACATACTTCAACAGAAAAACCACACCTTCAACTCCTGTCGAATGACAGGTTCATTCCCCAATTTTTCAAATGGGAAGTGAATGCTTGTGATATATTGTTTGAAAGGTCTCTTCATTCTCTATTCATTCTTTCGAATTTATTGCAACAATTAGGATAAAATAAATTGAAATCATGTGGTTTCCGAAATACGAAAAAATACGCTCAAAACTTATTACACTATACTCATTTCATGTTGAGACATTGATAATGAGACAGTGAGCAAAAACCATAGCAATGTGTTTTTTAGATGGTATCCTTTGAGAAACTGTAAATAATTTCCGTGACAACGTTAGTTTAAAACGCAACTTATTTTGTATGTTACAACATTATTTGTCAGTATTTTGATTAAAGTTTAAAGTTCGTTTACTTCAAGTCTGACAAATGTTTAGAGCAACGGAAATGCATAAAATAACAGTTTTATAAATGACTGGTTAAGGATATAAAACCCGAACATAACAGTGAGTAGCTCTTCTTTTTCATGAGAAATTTCCTCATTTACCGCCCATATTTCAAGGAACAATAAGCAAAATAAAGAAACAGTTTCGCGAGATTGGTCCTGTGAGGCAGATAAAAAATCAGCTGTCAATGCAATGAGTGATGAACTCAAATTAGATGTGATGCTTGAGTTTGAGGAAAACCCACATACATCGAGTAGACGGGCATCCACTACATTCAATGTTAGCCATACATTGATAGTAAACATATCAAAAGAAAAGAAAATGCATTCCTATAAAATGATACCTATTCAGAAACTCATGGAAGACGATTTTGATAAAAGATCTTATTTTTGTGAGCAAATGATGGACATGTTGGATAACAATATCATCCAATTAGAAGACGTTATGTTTTCTGATGAGTGTACTTTATCTTAAAACGATCACGTTAATCGGCAAAATTGCGGCTACTGGTCAACGGAAAATCCTCACTGGATGAGAGAAGAACACACGCAATACCCTCAAAATGTTAATTTTTGGGCAGGGATTTTAGGAAACCATATCATTGATCCCTTTTTCATAGAGGGCAACTTGAATGGTGATAATTATTTTGCACTACTTCAAAATGATATCGTTCCAAGTTTAGCAAATGTATATCCTGATCCAGGAAACCCTCAAGTTCCAGTGAATACGATATGATTCTAGCAGGATGGAGACCACCACATTATCAAGTTAATATCCGGCAATACCACGATACAACATTTCCCAATCTGTGGATAGGGAGGCGAGGATCAATTGAATGGCCAGCGCGATCAACTAATCTTCCATCATTAGATTTCTTTTTATGGGGTCGTTCACGCCTGATATTTCCAAAAACTTCACCTCAGGATTTCATCTCCACATACTTTTACTATGGATCTTCATCAAGTAACAGCTGAATCAATCAGAAAAAAAAAAACATGCGTGATATGTTGAACAATGTTAGAAAACAGTTTTATTTGAGATTAGCATGTTGCCAAGACGTTCGCGGTGAACATTTTGAATATCTACTCCGTTAACATCCATAGTTCTTTTTCGTATTCTTTGTGTATTCTACATTTCATTATGTTTTGCATTAGATTTTAGTTTTTGAGTATATTTTATCGAATTTTGGTAACCTCATGATTCTAATTTATTTCATCTCAATTGTTGCAAAAAACTCAAAAGCGATAACACTTTTGAATAGAGAATGAAGAGACATTTCAAACAATATATCACACACATATACTTCCCATTTAAAAAATTGAGGGTTGTACCTGTCATAAGAAGGGGGTAAAGGTAGGGATGGTATTTTTACGTTGAAGAATGTCAAATTATAATTTACATTTGATGTATTTCTGTTTTTTTAAAATATGTACAGTAACCAATATAATAAATTTATTCCATTTGGCTTTTTATATCGAAGAAAAACAAATACACGAGTACTTTTTGCTGTTAGACAATTCGTCGCATCAAACAGCTGATTTGAAATATCATTCTCAGTTCATCGCTTACATTGAATGCACACAATTCTCAGTACCACAGTGAACACTCACTTCACGATGTAGTGAGAGTAACTAAGTAATCATGTAGGTGCTCACATACCTATATTGTAAGAAAACTTTGGCAAAACCTTATAATTATATTGGCTTGCCACGATACACCAAATATCTTGCTCGGACAAATATAGATACGAGTTCTTGCTTCGGAGCTTAGGTCACAAAACGAGAAATAATTGACCTTTTGTCGTTATGTCTCGAACAAAATTATTTTCAATTCAACAATATTTATTCCTCCTCAAAAGGTTTGATTATGGGAAACCCATTAAGCCCCTTACTTGCAGAAATTTTCGTGGATAATCTAGAGAAGTCGATCTTTAAACATCCTTTGATTAAAAATTTCTTGTATTGGCATAAATATGTGGATGATGGTATGTTCTACAGGTAATAAAAGGCAATTAGATAATTTTCATAAGGATATTAACAAAATTCATGACAAAATCAAATTCACCATTGAAATAGAACCAGACAACTCAATCAATTTCTTGGACTTAACAATTAGTAGAAGAAACAACAAACATGATTTTTCAATTCATCACAAACCGTCTTATACGGATATTACTATACATTACGATTCTACTCATCGTTATCAACACAAAGTAGCAGCTTATAATAGCATGATTCACAGATTAGTCAATGTTCCTCTTTCGAAAAATAATTTCAATAAAGAACTTAATATCAAGCAAATTGGGGTTAACAATGGGTTTGAAGCCGAACTAATTAACAAAATACTTGCCAAGAAAGTCTACGCAAGAGCGATTCGATACGTTTTTCCTATTGATAACGTAGATAATCAAAATTATAGAGCTTTAACGTATTTTGGAGAACCAACGGAAAAAGTGGCTAAATTTTTTAGGAAACGAGATATTGAAATTGCATATAGAACAAGTAATACGTTGGGAAAGTTTGTGAAAAATAATAAAGACAAAACATCCAAATTCGAGAAATCAGGAGTATATAAATTGAAGTGTGGAACGTGCAGAACATTTAGGTATCGAATCCCGAAACATCATACGAGCTGTGTAAATAAGAAAACACATTCAACATATTCAAATCATCTCCTAGAAGAAAATTATATCTTTAACGAAGAGTTTGAAATTTTGCACATAGAAAATAAAGGTTTGAAACTGAATCATTAGGAAGCAATAGAAATTAATAAACTTAAAAATTCAAACATTCTGATAAATGACCAACTAGATTTGAATAGATCACCGTTATTGAACTTGTTTTCTTAAAAACCGAGAATTATTATTGATGTAGATGTGAGGTAATATGCTTCAGGTGATCATAATTGAACAGGTACCTTAGGTAGAGGTTTAGGTAAGTAACAAGTTGAAGTATTCAAATCACTTGAGAAAGCTCCTGTGCTAGCGAAACATGTTGTGATATATTTTTCAAATGAAGTTTGTGGAGATCAAATCATGAGTTGTAGTTTTTGAAAAGAGAACTGTTGTTAAATGAATGAAATTTTGATAAACAGAATTTGAAACCTCTGGTGTGAAATGAAACCATCAAAACATTTTTCCTCAATGCTAACTTGGTTAGCAAAACGCGCGCATGAAACAGCATTTTTGTTCCGGTGGTGAGAAAGTGTTTTCAATGAATTCAATTTTATTTGTTGCCATTCGTTATCAATCAGTTATATGAATACATCAAAGATGACGATGACTTTGAAAAACCACAGTGAAACTCATTAACAAGCATGCTTGTGATGTTTTGTGTCTTTGAAAAAATTATTGCATATCATTACTATATATTACTACTCGCTACTACTTCACTAATTATTATCATAGATGTCAAGTGCAAACTATGAATAATTCGATTTCTATATTACTAGATTTCTATATTACTAGACTATACTAGATTCCTATATCACTAATAGCTACCGTTTTACTAATTATTATCGTAGAAGTCTAGAACAAACATAAATGAGTTGATTTCTAATGTGTTTGTGAGTGGATAATACAGAATTGAGATTTTTGAAGTTGATATTGAAATGT